AGAGGCCGGGTGGAAGAGAACTGATGTGCGCAGCCAACAGCCGGCCACCTGCTAGACATGTGAGTGAGGCCATCTCGGATAATCCACCTCCAGGTGACCTGCTGGGTGACCCTGGATGTATGAGACAGTCCAGAGAGACCAGAAGAAACCCTCAGCTGGCCAATAGACTGGTATTAATATGATAAGATGGTGGTTGTCGTAAGCCATGAAGCCTGGGGATGGTTGTTATGTAGCAAAAGCTGACTGATACACTCCGCTACACTGCCTCTGTGCTCTGAATAAACGGTCCTTCCCAGACCTCCACCACCTGCTTTCAACCGGCTCAAAGTCATCTGCTCACTCACGAGTACAAAGGCAGCAAACACAGAGCAGCTAAGGAGACTACTGAAAGTCTCACTGCAATGGTCTAAACCAGAGATTGGGCAAGCTACGCCCAGAAGCTAAATCTGGCCCAATGAATTTGTAAACAAAGTTTCACTGGGACACAGCCACACTCGCTCGTTTACATACTGTCTGTGGCTGCTCTTGCCCCGCCACGGCACGGCTGACACATTGAGAACATGTGGCCCACAGAGCCTCTCACCCCTTACGGGAAAAGTTTGGCAACCCCTCATCTAGAGTTAACACTCTTGACACATGACAACAGTTCTCCAAGTGTGGTCCCCGGGACCAGCAGAATTAGCTTCACTTGTTGAAAATGCAGTCCTCGGTCCTCATCCCAGATCTGCTGAATTGGAAGCACTGGGGGTGGGGTCCCGCAATCTTAGTTTGAGGAGCCCTCCGGGGGCTTCCCACACCACTGCTTCCAGGTGAGACAACAAGAAACAACCATCCCTGGGTACAGAAACCTGTTGTGGTTGTTGATTCTCTGGTCTAAAAAGCAATTTCTTGCCGGGCGCGGTGGCTCACGCCTGTAATCCTAGCACTCTGGGAGGCCGAGGCGGGCGGATTGCTCAAGGTCAGGAGTTCAAAACCAGCCTGAGCGAGACCCCATCTCTACCATAAAAATAGAAAGAAATTAATTGGCCAACTAATATATATATATATATATATATATATATATATACATCAGTTGGGCATGGTGGCTTGTGCCTGTAGTCCCAGCTACTCGGGAGGCTGAGGCAGGAGGATCGCTTGAGCCCAGGAGTTTGAGGTTGCTGTGAGCTAGGCTGACGCCACGGCACTCACTTTAGCCTAGGCAAGAAAACAAGACTCTGTCTCAAAAAAAAAAAAAAAAAAAAAAAAAAAAGCAATTTCTTTTTTCTGACCCCCAGCCTTTTGGGGAGTGATCGCTGCCTTCGAGTCTTACTGTCCTGAGTTCATCTGCCCCTGGCGAGGTGGGAGACTGGCTGTCGCTCAGCAAACCCTTGCAGCCCCCAGAAGCCCCTCCAGGCAGGAGGCTCCGGAGGGCAGTGGGGATGACACCCAGCCTTCCTTCCTGGCCCCTCCAAAATAAATTCAATGTTCACAAAAGGCGTACAAGAGAAGGTTTGGAGTGGAGTGCTCTTATGATGTAAAATCAACTGCAAAAGACCCAAGCCCTTATATGTGAGTGCTGAAGTCGGGGTGAAATAACCAGCTCATCTCGGTTTTGCCTGTTTCTTTCCCAGTTTTAACACTGAAGGAACCATGTCCCCCAAACCCCTCAGTCCTGGTAAAATTGGGGCAGGTCCTATGTCTGAGAGGTGAAAGGCCAGGCTTTGCTGAGCGGGGGCCGAGCATTTACTAATGCTCCCTGCAGGCCGGCAGGTGCAGAGCTGGAAGGGCTCCTGCTCAGGGAGCCGTGGGTAGTGGTGAGGCAGGTACAAACCTTTACCCCCCGTGGGGCATCTCCAGTGGGCCTCCCACAGACCGAGAGTCCTGGGAGTGGCCCAGCGGTGCAGGGACGTCCCACAGGATCAAGTGCCCCCGGGAGGGTCCTCTGCCTTCGGTGGCTGTGTTCTGGACCCAACAGCCCTGTTTCTGTCACCACAGCTGTTGGCTATCGTGCCTCTGATTCAATCAAGAAGTCTGATTTCTGCACAAAGTGCCGTTCTATGGGCTGGGATGAGCCTTTGCAGCTCATTCTCCCTTACAGCTTTTAAAAACCATCCTGCAAACCCTAATGGGCAGAGCTAGAGATGCCCCAGATCTAAGCTGCTCCTCCTTGCCACGGAGCACTGCACCCTGAGACACACACGGGGAAGGGATTATTCGTTTTTTAATCGTATACTATTTTATTGTGACATATAACAAGATATATGTAGCGTAAACCCACACGGTAGCGACAACTGTTTGTTTTAATAAATAAGTTAATAACCCGCCGAGATTATCCGCACCTCTGTGCACCCCCACGGGCCGGATCTCCCTCCCTCCCAAGGGCGCCCAGCACGCCGAAGTTTGAGCTCACGGTGCTCCTGCTCTCCGCTGCAGTTTTACCACGGCTGCACATACCCCTAAAGTAGATATTGTTTGGTTTTGCCTGATTCTGAGATTTCTGCAAATGGAATAATCACCCCGTGTGTTTCTATAGCGACCTGCTCATTTCACTCGTCCTCTGGAGGGTCACCCACGTGGATGCACGTAGCTGTGATTCATTTTTCACTGCTGTATAGTAGTCCCGGTTCCGCTGTATGGATGTGTGTTCATGTGAGCTGTGGGATGTGCTCGAATAGCCGCACACGGCAGAAAACTGTCCTGTGAGGACAATGACATCTTTCTCTCCAGGACGTGGCAGGATGTGCAGATGGGGCCAGAACTGAATTCTGGGGGCATCTGGGTGAGGCTGAGCTCCCTTCTTCTCCCGCATAGCACTCAGCCCGTCCCCCAAGCAAATGTTGGCCAATTATTTAAGTAATTTAGATTGAAAGGACAGCAGTTTGTTCTCCTTTGATGCCACTCACACACAGATATTTAGAACTAAGTATTTATTTGCGTAAGTGATACATGCACATGCCAAAAATGCAAAGCCTTCTGAAGTCTCCTGTATTCCAAGGGTGCGCGCGACACAGCCCAGCAATGATATACACCTTTGAGACTCTAGATTTTAGATTTGAGACTCTGTTTTTCTGCAAAGCAGTTTAATTTCTTGTGTGTGCTGGTGCCCTCTTGTGGCTGTTCAGTAGAACGCAATTCTCACGCATCTGTCTCAAATTCAGGTTCCAGGAAGAAAGTTGCTTTCATGTACTGTTCCTTCTGAAGCAAAGTTGGTACTTCCCGCCTTTAAACTTACCCCTAACATAGTACGTAATAATATTACAACATTTTAATAAGTTCCTATAACATCATAAAGGGAGTTATTAGTAAACATAGTAAAGGGAGAGGCGGTTTTAATACGTATATACTTAATTAAAACATCCAGTTCTGGGTCCTACGAGGCTATGAAGACCTATAGTCTGTCCCGTAGGAGCAGTGAGTCCGTCCAGAGCAGGGTTGGCAAACCATGGCTCACTTGCCAAATCTGGCCCGCCGTCTGTTTCAGTAAATAAAGTTTTATTGGGACACACCCGTTGTTTACATATTATCTGTCGCTGCTTTCTCAGCACATAGCAGAGTTGGGTAGTTGCAACAGAGACGTCCTGGCCCACAAAGCCTAAGATATTTACAACTGGGCCCTTTTTGGAAAGAGTCTTCCCACTCCTGGCTGAGTGTGTCGACAGAGACACCCATCACGGTGACTTAGCCTGCAAAGAAGCTTCCTGTTTGGATTTGATTTTCCACTCATTCATTCATTCATTCATTCAAACAATTGTTGCGTACCCACACGTGTCAGACATTATTTCCGGCCAGAAAAGATTCTTGATATTTTCTAAGTTGGAGAGGTCTAGCAGCAATATTTTCAGTTAGGACAGTAAGGCATACCAGTTACTAGCATTTTCTACCCAAAACAGCTTCTTACATACGTGTGCGTGTGTGTCTTCTCCTACTGAGCCCGCCATCCAGGACGAAAGGTGGTCGTCGTGGCACGGACGGCCCCTCTGTGCTGGGCGTAAACTGATCGCAGGTCCCACCTGCACCTTCACCTGCGTCTCCTGCTGACTCCGGAGGCCAAATCTGTGTGCTGTGGAGGACGCCAACGAGGAACTCCGGCCGGGCAGGAGGGGAGAGGAGAGAGCGTGTAGGCGAAATCTCGACCTGGTTACACTCCTGCTCAGCCCAGGACTTACACCTTGACCTGGGCTCTCCTCATTTCCACCGGTGGCACCTGGCTTGTGTCGCTGGTGACAAATGCAAATGCTTGTGAATGTGGAATATATATCTAGAAGAAGGTTCCAACATAACTTCCATTCCCAGCAGCCACGAGCAGTGCAGGGTTGAGCCTTCTCCACAAACGTAGCCTTGGCTGAGCTGTGGACGTCCCGGTCTGTGTTTACACGTGTTCCAGAAAGCCAGGCCTGCCCCAAGCCTTCTGCCCAGGAGTCCCTGACTCTGGGACTTTGAAACCTGCATGTGTGTACACACCTACGGAAGCCATTGAATTCCAGGCGCTTTTAAAATCGAAGGAGATCATGGAACTAATTTGGTTCAATTTCCATCTAGAAAAAACAGTCTTTTTAACAGCTGGAGGAAGAGGTAAAAAGAAACATCAAGAGAAAGCACAGGCCGGGCGCGGTGGCTCACGCCTGTAATCCTAGCACTCTGGGAGGCCGAGGCGGGCAGATTGCTCAAGGTCAGGAGTTCGAAGCCAGCCTGAGCAAGAGCGAGACCCCGTCTCTACTGAAAATAGAAAACATATAGCCGGGCGTGGTAGCACTCGCCTGTAGTCCCAGCTACTCGGGAGGCTGAGGCAGGAGGATCACTTGAACCTAGGAGTTTGAGGCTGCTGTGAGCTGGGCTGACACCACGGCACTCACTCTAGCCTGGGCAACAAAACAAAACTCTATCTCAAAAAAAAAAAAAAAATACAAAAAAAAAGAGAAAGCATAAACCGTGAACTTGAACTCAGGAGACACTTAGAACTCCCAGCGCTCACCTTGCATGTGTTGCTCCCGACACCTGGGAAGCGGCCACCCTCCTCTTACCTGTGTCCCCAGGGAGAGATGTAGCCTGTGTCAGCTCGGTGCTCAAGGAGTTTGCATTGATTCAGCAAGTGCTGGTCTCGCTCAGGACATTCTCACTTCCTATTAAAAAAGAAAAAAAGAATCCCAAAGACTGTAATTAAGCAGTGAAAACATCTAGGCCAAACCACAGCTACCGAAGCTACTGACCCGACCGTGTGAAACCCCTGCAAGGCAGCGCATGCCCTTCCTGTTGTTCATTAGGGAACAGACCCTTCCGTGTGGCCGAACTACCCGGTCAACAAACATTTTGCAGAGCCCGGCGTTCTTAGACACACCGCCGTCTCTAAAGGGGGTTACAAACCTTTCTGCCCTCCTGTGCGCAGATGCTGGGTGTATGGTCACCTGTCCTTGGTGGCTCGGGGCCATCACTTTGCACAACAATCACACTGTGCTGTGACACAGCTGTGACCTCAGGGGCCTCACCCTGTGCAGGGACATCAGTCTTGCCTAAAATGGCCCCAGAACGTGACTTTTTGTTTTTATGTTCGTGCTTCTAGCTTTTCCATATCCACCTTTACGGTTGTCATGGAGCATGTGACCCTCCGGGGATCTGTTCTGCCGAGGACAACAGAGGACCCAAGGCCTGGGTGGTGGAGAACGAGCTTGAACTACGGGGCGTGGCTGCCCTCAGCCCTGCGCAGGGGAAGGCGCTGGGAGTGCGGTGGGGGAGCAGGAGGAGTGGCCGCACACGCACAGGCTGTGGCAGGAGGGCCCAGGTGGTCTAGCCGGGACCAGGCAGGGACAGAGCAAGCTGCAGGTCACCCAAGCGTGCCGGACGGCCCAGCACTGTGGCTGAAGCGACAACGCCGGTTGGGTGTGGACGGGCTCAAGGGCAGCTCAGAGTGGAGATGCCGAATTTCAGTATGGGAAAACCAGGCGCCATATATATTTCTAGTTTGCACTCAGAATTTATTTTTCCTTTTCTTTTTCTCCCCTTGTGGGAACTACAGGAGAGGCAGATCAGGGTCGGGCTTAAAAACCGTGTTCCCTGGAGCGAGCAGGCCTCGTCTGCGTCTTGCTGTGTCCTCTGTCGCCCCTGTAACCTGAATCACTTTCCCACCTGCCAGCCTCCTTCTCCCGGAGAATGCTTGTGATGTAGGTGACGACGGAGGTGAGTCACGCAGCAAATGGCCCGCACACTGGTGCACCCCACACGCGTGCGACTTTATTACCTGTGAGTGAGTGGAGGCAGACTGTTGGCAATGACGTGTCTCACCGGGTACAGGAACACGGAACACGGACAAGGGCTTTCGCTGCTCTGCCGCTGGCTGCCGGGTACGGCCCAATCGTTGGGGTGGGGCGGGGGTCTCCCTTGCTCCCTTTTCTGATCCTTCTCGGTGTGAATGCTGGGAGCTAATCGTGATACCATTCCCCACTCGCGTCGCTGAGTACACCAAGGTCTGCGCCCCTCACTTTGCACACGTCGGCTCCCCTGGCACGGCCGCGCCCTCTCTGCTGGCTGCTGGCGACAGAGCTAAGAGCCGCAGGCTGCTGCTCTCCCAGAGCCGCGCAGCCAGCAGGTGGAAACGCCCCAGGGGACGGCAGGTCCAGAGACGCCTGGGCCGTTCCTTACTTGGAAGAACAAGTCTCTGGTAGCTGGAAGTAAACTCCGTCAAGCCCCTGCCCCTCCCACGGGGAGAACCCTGGAGGCCTCAGGTCAGAAAGACCACGAACTCGCCAGAATTGAGCAGCTTTTGCCAAGGCAGTGACAGCTCCACTGCCGGGCGCCTCTCTCCGGGGCGCAGCGACCTTGGCTTGTGTCGCTCCCTGGCCTGCCGGCCTTTGTTCGGAGGAGGAAGGTGTTTCTGGGCACGGGTGGGAACGGCAGACGTTTGCATGGGGCTGACCTGAGCTTCCACCCACACGAATGCGGGCGCTGGGCACTGCGCCTACCACCCGGACCCGCGCTCATCCCCGAGTGCGTGGGGGGCAGGGTGCACACGTGAGCTCACAGGCGGCTCTCATCCTCCAGGGCTGACCGCAGAGCGGTGTGCGGAAGGCCTCGGGGTTTGGCCACAGGAGGATGCTGCTGCCTCCTTCCCAAGACCGGCACAGCGCCCACATGTGAAACCTGCCATGAACAAACCCTCGGGCCTCACCTCCCGGGGTCTGGGCCCAGAAGCAGCACCGCCATCCTCCCGTCTGGCAAGAACAGCTTCTTCAAGGTCACGGCGTGTCCTTCTCCTTCCCAGGCCTGACATCTCAGCCTGGAGCTGGCTGGGGCCCGACAATGTCACCTCCCCTGCGTCTCAGCTTGCTCTTCCCCGGGCCTTCTCCCAAAACCTTCTCCAAGGCACCTCATCACCCACGAGATGGGCTGAAACTCAGACCCTGCTGACCTCTCATCCCTGGGCAGCTCCCACAGATTTAAGCCCAAATAAAATTCCTGATGTCAGGGGTCTCCACGGCCAATGTCATCAAGACATCGACCCCGGAGCTCTGTGGCAAGGGATTTCGGCTGCAGGGTCCCTTATGATATTTAGCTCTAACGGCAGCTCTAATTGTGCAGCCGGTTTCCCCGTGGCCTTGCTCACTTCGGCTGGCCCTGAGCACACTTGGAGGCTGCGCACTTTGATAAGTGAGGAGGCCGTGGGAGGCATTTGGATTGCATGTTCCTTTTCTTTTCTGTAATCGGATGTGAACTCCTCCACTCTGTCTTGAGAAAGTATTGTTGCATCACAGACTTGGCCTCCGGATTAGGCACCTGCTATGGAGGGTGAGTGGAAACCAGAGCAGTTGCGTTTCCACTGAGCCTTGGACATGACCCTGGGGGGCAGCAAAGGCGTCTGCAGAAGCCCCTGGGCTGGGCACAGGGACACAGCGAGCTGCACGGAGGACACCCCCATGGCCCTCTGCACCTCGGAATATACTCGTATTCCCAGGGCGAGGTGGGGCCTATGGCCAAGCATCCCACCGGTAGGAATGTCCCCACGGCTACACCCTGCCATGTGCAAAATGGCTCATGTTCAAGGCCGTGCATTGCAGTATCCTGTGCAAAAGCCTGAAAAACATGGGGAACCAGTTATGCAAATCAGTAGAGGACTAGTGATTAATAATTAGGTTAAGTGCATCCATATGATGATGGCATAGTATGAAGTTCTAAAAAAAATAGGGTAGTCAACTGGTAGGGAATGACAAAGATATGTTTTCAAGAGCAGAGAGGAAGTCTCAGAACGGTGTATCTGGTAAGCTGCCATTCATGTTTCCAAAACAAATTTACCCACAGGCCTGAACAGACACAGAATATCTCTAGATGGGACACATGAGAAGCTGGTGGCTGTGGCTGGCACTGGGGAGGGGAACTGGTTGGCTGGGGACCAGGGGAGGCCATGTGACACATTACCTATTTCATTCATTGGCTTTTCATTTTGAGATACTAGCATCTCCATATATATTTTATAAGAAGTAACACGGGGCCAGGCCCAGTGGCTCATGCCTGTAATCCTGGAATTCTGGGAGGCCTAGGTGGGAGGATTGCTCAAGGTCAGGAGTTCGAGACCAGCCTGAGTAAGAGTGAGACCCCATCTCTACTAAAAATAGAAAGAAATTATCTGGACAACTAAAAAATATATATATAGAAAAAATTAGCCCAGCATGGTGGCGCATGCCTGTAGTCCCAGCTATTCGGGAGGCTGAGGCAGGAGGATTGCTTGAGCCCAGGAGTTGGAGGTTGCTGTGAGCTAGGCTGATGCCAGGGCACTCTAGCCCTGGCAACAGAGCCAGACTCTGTCTCAAAAAATTAAAAAAGTAACATGGAGAGATCCTACGCACCCCTTTGCTCAGTTTCCTCCAATAGCAACACCTCGCAAAACTATAGCACAACACCAAGGATGCTGACATTGATACAATCCATCAGGTTTATTAAGATAACAGTTCCCCGATTTTTCTTGCACTTGTGTGTGCTTAAGTCCATGCAATTTTGCCACATGTGCAGGTTCATGTATCCACTGTAAGGTTTTTCGGCGGTGGCGAATAGAAAAGACAAACACAGAGAGAGAGAGAGTGGAGCCAAACAACATAGCTTTATTTAGTGCTCCCGGACGAGGTTCTGGGGCCCCAAGAGAAGGGGACCCCAGAAGTCGCCTCTGTTTGAAGGGGGTGCGGCCTTTTATACCCTATAGGCCGGGCTAGGGACTTTAGGCGGGAAGAGCTGGGGCGAACTTTGGTGGTCATTGAAAAATAGGAGGGGCTGGCGGTATTTGCGGAACCCAGAAGCCAAAATGTTCTCATCCGGGTGGACAACTGGGCGTGGCTCCTCTCTGCAGGGCCTGGCAGTTTGTGCTTGGCGGGTCTGGTCTCGTGAGCCTTTTCTTTTGTGATCTAGGGAGAGGAGGGGGCCGCCACCAGCCTTACATCCACCACCAGAGCGAAGCCACAGGACGTCACCACCAGGGTCCCTCACGCTGCCCTTTTATAGTGACCCCTCCTCCCGCTCCTCCACCTCGCCCTTGCCCTAAACTCCTGGTGACCTCCAATCTGTTCTGCAGCTGTATAATTTTACTCCAAGAATTTCAGAGAGATGAACTCTGGAGAGATGGCCTCATACAGCATGTGAGCTTTGGGGATTTATCGTTGCACTGGACAGAATTCCCAAAGGATTCATCCAAGCTGCGTGCGTGCCGACGGTGCATTCCTCGTACTGCCAGGTAGGGGCCGTGGCATGGATGGCCATTTGCCCCCGGCAGACTTCTCAGCTGTCCCCTGCATTTGGCAGCTGTGAATAAAGTTGCTGTGAGTGCTCTTATACAGGTTTTTGTATGAGCTTAAGTTTCCATTTCTCTGGGATAAATGTCCACAACGGTGGTCCCTGGGCATATTACATATTATAAAAATTAATATGAAAAAAGTGCCATGCAGAAAACAAACAAGGTGCCCCCTGGCCCTGCCTCCTGGACGGTCTCAGCAGTGCCACACCCCTCCCTGTGGGTCCCGCCAGCCTCCCCCACGCTGCCTCCACGGACATTATCATGAAAATCTCCCACTTCTGACTCGTGTTTTAAACTTTGCAATGTTCCTTCACATGCAGCTGAGCCCACTGCATCTTCATAATCAGACTGGGAGCATCTTAGGCCCAGAAACAGAAGACATCGAGGGTTCTGGAGGCTTCTCCGTATCTCATGCCAGCCTCCCACATCACGGCCCCTCTTGCCATGCTCTCGTACTCATGCAATTCCTTTGTCTTCACTTCATCCAGCAATGTTCATAGACAATTATCTAGGTGCTAAGCTGGAAGGGCAGAAGCCAGGCAGGAGCTACAAGGAGTGATGAATAGTGTCAACCGGTGTAACCAAAAGAACACAATAAAAATGACGGAGCGTGACTTCCAAGCCGAGGCATAGGACACACCACACTTCTGCCTTGTGTCTCTGGGATCACTTGTGCCAGGGGCAGCCAGCCGCCATGTTGCGAGGTCACTCAAGCAACTCTGTGGAGGGGCCACATGGGAGAAGCTGAGGCACCAATTTGCCAAACATATGAGCCGCTACCTTGGAAGTGGACCCTTCAGCCCCAGTCCAAACTTTGGGTGAGACTGCAGCCCTGGCCAGCATCTTGCGGGGGTAACTTACAACACGGTGATGGATAGTTCATAACCCTACCCTTCTAGGGAAGGTTTCATGACCCATGGATGGGCTGCAATCCACAGTCTGAGAAGCCTCCTTGGAGAGGTATGCATTCGGCCCAACCCCATGTCACAGCTTTTTCTAGGTACTTAAGAGCCTACTGAGATCTGCCAGACAGGCATGGAGAGGGTGGTGAAGGGCTAGGTAGAGTATGAGTCCCAGGTCTGAAGTTTGTTAACTGTAACCCTGGGCAAGTTCCACTATTACGGATTTGGGCTCCAGTTTCTCCATCTATAACATGGGGGTGATAATAGCGTTACTTACCACATGGAATCATTATGAGGATAAGTTAGTGCACATGACGTCCTCCTAGCTGTGCCGGGCACACAGCAGGAGCTGGGAGAGACTTAGCTGCTAGCACGTGGCAGGCAGTATTCTCCGGGCTGTAGATGCATTGGAGGCAAAAGAAGCAAAAGTTTGATCCTTTCTAATTGATCAATTGACAAAATGATCCTTTCTAATTTAATGAAAAATTTGTTATTTTTTATTGTGTTCTGTGTGTGAGTTATATGCAACTCACACGGCACTAGAATCCATTTTTACACTGCATGTCGTGAGTTGTATGTGACTCATGACACACTTATTGAATTTGTTTTGGAGAATTAAGTCTTCACATGCTTCATGAGACCTCGGGCTCAAAACTGATGTGAGTTAAATACAACTCACATGGCAGTTCATGTGTTAAATATCTCCTGACAGATTTGGAGATCAGAGTTTGGTAAGAGGGGGAGGTGGGTCCACGGGCAGAGAAGGCATTCAGGGAGAACCACCTGCCCATCCCAATAAAAGAGACATGTGGGTGGACTTGGACCTAAATTTTGCACATAACATTCTACTGAATTAGGCCCCTTAACCAGAAAATCTGGCTGGGCGTGGCCTGGCCTAACTGGCAAACGACACCACGTCCCACAGAGCCCTCCACCAGGCGGATGCTCTGAGCAGAAGCGGATTGACCCACGGCTTGGCCTCCCTCTTGGAATAGTTGTCCCAGCAGATGACAGCAGTGAGGCCAAGGCCACCCGGCCCTCAGTGGCACGAAAGCCTGTGTGGAAACCGTCCTGCCAGCCAGAATGGCCCTTTCTCTTTGGCCTGCCTAGGATGGGAAGGTCTGCTTTATTAAAAGCAAATGCCTGTCATCTCTCTGGTAGTATGAGCATTCCTAACCTGTGATACACTCCTGCAGAGTCGTCACTGAAAAATAAATAAAATGAAAAACACAGAAACACAAACAACACTGACCACCTATTGCCTCGCCGCGCAGCTATCGGCAGTGCTAACTTTTGGCGTGTGCCCTTCATTCCTGGATATGCTTCATTTGAATAACTTTATTATTAACTAGTATTAAGTAGACTTGCATGAACGTCCTTATTGGCAAATGTATTTCTCCTTCGTTGAATTTCTCAGGCAATTTCTTGAGCTGAATTAATGGAGCAAAGAGTATTTGTCTCCTGAGTGTCTGCAGGTACGTGCTGAGGTTGCTTCCAGAAGGCCTGCACTGTCCGTACCCTCCGAGCTGGCCAGGGGTCGCCGGCCTCTTGCTAACCTCGGCCATGCCAGGCGCCGCTATTGTGATAAAGCTGCCAGTGTGACATGTCGTCAAGACAGAGGATCACGTGATGTCCATGTTCATTCCTCTAGTGGAGAAATTGAGCAGTTTTCAGATCTTCATCAGTCATTCGTAAGTTTTATTTTTAATTGACAAATAATATTTATGGGGCACAGTGTGAGGTCTGAAACGTGTACACATTGTGGAATGGCAGAATCAACCTAATTGACACA